AATATTAGGAAACCTTATTTTCATCACATGGGAAATTTAAAAAAAAACATACATTGCAGACTGAAGAAATGTTGCCATGAAATAAGCACAAACAGAACTGCATTTTGAAGGAGTCAGTTGGAACCGGTGAGACTCCACGTAACCAAAACATTTTAGAAGACATGTGTCTGACTTATTCACATACCACATAGTGAAACATATGGTATATCTGTATTTTAGATTAAAATCTAACCTGGAATTATTGTGAACTAATTTGAAAAACTATATAGAGTTATACAAAGGATGTGCTATGTGGTGAAAAGTAAAAAAGGAATGGCCGATAACAGGGATTTTAAATTCAACATTGTTTTCTTATACAAAGCTTGGAAATGGTAGGTGCTATGACCCTATTTCTCGGAAACCTTTCTCCATCTCTCTGGACTGAGGCTGGTGTCCTCGCTTTGAGCATAATGTACCTCTCTCTACCACCAACACAGAAAATATTTAGCTGTTGAAATTCCCTACTAGACGACAAGGCTCCATGAAGGCAGGGACTGTTTCTGTTCATATTACTTTCATTTATGAAACATATATTAGCTTAATTTTTTTGTCACCTCTCAAAAAATCTATATAAACTTGTATGATCTTAATAACAAAGCTTCAAGAGTCCAAAAGCAAGAAAAATGAGAGCTATGAAGAAAACTTAAAAATTTTACTCTGTTAGTGGGAAGCTTAAATGTACCTCTCCTAGTCATTAATTGATTAAGCAGACTAAAAATATTACTGAACTTTATGGAAAATTTGAAGACAATAAACAAATTTATTCCAATGTTTAATAAAGGATACTGCATCCATAAATGAAAGCATATGCAATTGTCTCACGCCCTGATCTTAAGACATTTAAACTGGAAATCAATAAACAGATAGATACATTTTTTAAAAAATACATATGTTTGAAATTCCCAAAAAAAAGCTTCAAAAAAAATCTTCCCACAAAGGGCATACATACCAAGTCCAAAAATGACTTGTACCCATCTAGCAAACATTTAAGGAATAGATAAAATATTTTGGGTAATGGGAATATAGTTATTGTTGCTATGTTTGTTTCCATCTCCTGCCTGCAGAATGAAATATCCCTAATGGAAATGCTGGTCACTTGAATTTGCCTACATATAATTTGGATTCAGGAAAATTCTAATATTAAAATAAATACACAAATGCATGTAAGTATACATATACATGTATGCATATATATGTGGGTACTCCAAAAAATTTGTGAAAAAATAGAACTAAAAGAGAATATGAATCTTCTCATGAACTTTTTGAAGTCCCCTCATATATATGTGCACATCACAAACACGTACATACACCTTTACACTAGAACCTGCACTATACTTGCTACTACTTTTAAAGAAGAAATAAGTTAAAGAAATTCTAAGAAAAAAGAAAAAAAGTTTAGCTCAATAGCGACTTACAACTTCCTCAATTACAATTTGGGAGATACTCTCAAAAATATAGAACCTTACAATCTGTAAATTATACCCAAGAGTGAAATCTCATATCTTCACCTCCAAATGAGAAGTGCTACATAGAAAGGCTAAGCTTTAGCTGGAACTTTTTATTAAACTATTAAAAAATTACAATGCGATGATCCATGGAAACATGTATTATACAAACTAACTCCCTCAGCCAGTTTTTAAGAGTCAGAATAGCAAAACAATGGTTTGGAACTTCAGCTTCAGCTAATTTGAAGAGGCTATGCTGAAATTAAAGGGCAAGGAAAGGTCAATTTTTCTCAATTTGTATATTTTTATACGTGTAACTAGAGAAAAGAAACAAGAGCTCCCACATTGTATGTTGGAACAGAAAAAGAGGAATTACTGCACTATAATTCCTTAAAAACCCTGGAATGCACTATATTAAATTCTCTTACATGTTATGTTGGTCACAAATCAAATTTTTAATCCAAGTTTGGAGGCTTCTTAAAATTCAATTAAAATGATGTTAAAAAAAAAAAAAAAGGTCTGCATTAAGGTATGCTCCATTTAGAGACCTTTGCATTGGGCAGAAAAACTTTTCCCTACCTTAAAATAGAGTTCAAGAAACGCTATTTTAATTTTCTTTTGCTTCAATATTTCATGAATGCTTCTCAATGCATAGTCTCTAAAAACATTAGACATCTGACATGATGCTATTTCAGATGATGTGGAAGATTTTATTTACGTGAATTCTATGCATTGGAATTTTATGTCATTTTTCCATTTCATGCTCAGGATAGACTGTAATGTACAAAACTATATTCCAATTCTTTATATAGACACCATATCTTACCCTGAGATCTAATATGAGTAAAAAAATGTCACCCAAAGTTTAGTGTTATTGCAAGAAATAACTATTCTTCATAATCACTGCAGAATTCCCTTCTTTATGAAATGGACTTTTACTAACAGAAGGACAAAAACATTTTCAAACAGAAGACACCTGGCTCCTTACATCTCCAAGTAAAGCAAATCTACAGTCTTATCACCGAAAGCATCCTCAAATTTTTCCATGCTTTATTTGTGTTCCCACATCATAACAAATCAATAGCCATATGAGATCCTAGCACTATAGAAAAATACACATACAAAGCACATTTACTTTTCCAGACCAAAGTAATAATTAACAAAACACACTTCCTTGGTTTTGGTCCTTCCAGTATAGTATTACTTCCTTCAAAAATCAACATTTATATTACACTTAGGTTTTAAACAAAACAAGGAAGAACATATGTTTAAAATATGTGATAACTGAAATATCTTAGACACCCAAATGTCATATCTTCTTACGATTTTTCTTATTCTAAATGATGTGTTTTAGAACAAACGTGCTATGCTAGTATGTTATTTCTTCAAATGCTCATAAGCACATTTTGTTGAATGGCTGTAGATGCGTTTTGGTGCACTGGGTGCTGTTTATATGCTTATGTTTCTGTAATTAGAAAATAAAATATACTACATCATTAATTGTCAGATCCTCCCTGTGACAGTACCAATGACCGATAGCCCACTGGCTTGATTAGACAAGTGTGCAGGGCTCGTAATTGAAGAATTTCATTTTCATCACAAAAAGGGCTAGAACATGACACTGTCTCATAAATTTGGAGATGTTATGTAAATAATTAATATAATAACTCTGCTGTGACAACATACAAGTAATGAGCACAACTTGACTACCAGATTTAAATATTAAGTCTAGGAGTTGTTGAAAATCAAACATCATTATGATTACGGTGTCTTAGCAAACCATCATTGAAAGGTAGTGTTTATCCAATCAAAGGAACATTTTTGATAAAGAAAAAAAGGAGCTTAGCTCAGTTGGTTAGAGTGTGGTGCTGATAACACTAAAGTCCAGAGTTCGATTCCTGTACCAGCCAGCCGCCAAAAAAAAAAAAAAAAGATGGTAAGGACAATGACAAAAAACCCCAAAAGAACAAGAATCAAACATCTCTGTTCAATCATCCTAAACACCCTCCCCGACCAGGAGCGACAGGGGGGAAAAAAAGATCACCTTGGTTTCTAAAAATTGATAGCCATATCAATTTCTGAAGAATTTACTGGCACAATTTATACCTGCATTGTCTTTGCTATTATTAACTTTGGTGCTACTTTTCTCTGCCACCACTGTGCACTGCACTAGAAAACAAGTCAGAGTCTGTCTTCCCTTGTCTGTGTCACTTAATTCCTTGTGCTTAACTTCCTCTACATGGTTTGGAGACGGATTTGTGCCAGTTGCTCTTTGGACACTTAAAGTGAGGCAGCATGCCCAGGTGATACTTTTGTTGCCCGAGTGACATTTAGAAGCAGAAATGCACTTCAGCATGTCAGCTTCCCTCAGCATGTCAAGAAACAGCAAAGCTGAATCCCAGATGTGGTTCGTTAATCCCACTGTCACAAGATAAACTATGTGGTCCAAGTAAACACAACCACCCATTAGCGCTAAGGAGAGCGATAGGAACCATTTATTAAAGGTGACGATGTTCTCTGAGTTATAAGGCTCTTTTGATCATGTGATTGACTTTGTTTGCTCAACAACGTGGTATATGTTTTTCCTGAGAGAAAGGACTTCAATATACATTTACTTAGAGGCTTTAATTTATACTTCCTTTCCTTTCAATTGGTGTCTTGTGATCTAAAATTAGCTCGTGAACATAGTATCTCACTCCAACTTTCTCAGCTGAATTTTCAATAATTAGACCCACCATCACCTGAAGTTGAACAGACATCTGGAGACCTGGCTTTTCATTTCTTCCCTGGTCCTTTCTATACATATTTAGAGTGATTTTCTATTTGACATAGAGTCATATTAATGATTATCCCCCAAGCTGGAGTTAGATTAATAATTTCATGTTAAAAATGAAGTTCAAACAGTCTTTCCTGTAACCTTCCTAAGTAAAGAAAAGGAATTCTTTCGTGAAACCTGAGATTGTCAGAGCACTGGAGTTCACCAATAAGCTGGCTATCATTTACACAAGGAATAAAAGGTCACGTGTCCTCTAAAATCCCACATTTGCTGCAGACATTCCTCCTTCTATTCTTTTGTTTGTGCAGTAACTAGATACAGGTACAATGAGAGTGAATTCGTTTTCCTGGATGAGTGAGGAAAATAAATGACCCCCAAATGCTCAAAGCCTGGTTTGATCTGCCATTCCTTCTTGCGCGCTCTCTCGGAGAGGCAGCACTCTCTACGCAAGAACTGCAAAGACTGAAAATGATCCAGAAAAACTGCAAGGATTGAAAATGATCCAGATTTTGAGAATTTGCCCTCACCTTGACAACGCTAAAATTACAAGCAGCAGTCAACTTTTACAAGATACCCTTATTGTGTAACATTTACAGGCTGCCAAAAACATGCTAAAACTCATCAGATAACAAAGGTGAAGAGAAAACCTTCACCTGCCATGTAGCTAACAGTGAATACACTTTTTATTTCCATGACATTTCCTGGCAGAAAGGGGTTGGCTTAAGGCGGATCGGACTAACCTTCAATTTGTCATAGCGCTCACTCAAAGCTGCCACCTGATGATCGCGGTGCCGCCCAACCAGTTTACACAAGGCACAGATTAACTGGTCATCGGTCACACAGTACATATTCACCTTCTCATCCTCGTGCTCCAAGCACATCAGCCCCCGGATGTGTGAGTCCGGAATTGGCTCAATCAGACGATGGCCTGTAAAGGGCTTCTTGTTCGGGTGAGTGGCTTTCAGGCACTCGTCACAGTAGGACACTTCGCAAGTGACACAGGTCTTCACGGCGTCCTGGGCAGGATCCTGGTCACAGAACTGGCAGAGGACCTTTTCAGCAGAAGTCATGGTGTTGGCGTCAAAGGCCCGCTCCCGGCGGGTCTCACTGGGGGAATTGGGCCCGCTCACTGATGCTTTCTGGAACCTGTCGATGATGTTCTGCAGGGTGACGTTGCGCTTCAGTCCGTCTAGACCTCGCTGGCTGAGCGTGATGACATGCCGGCAGGTGGGGCACTGGAAGGCGGTGATGGACTCCACAGACTCGTTGGTGGCACAGTGTGACACCAGGATGCGGTGGGCGCAGTTGAAGCAGAGGCTGTGAGCACAGGGCAGCAGGAGAGGATCCTCAAAGAGCTCCAGACAAATAGGGCAGGTCAGCTCCGACTCCAGTGTTTCCATCTTCAGGCAAAGCTCTCCTGTGTCATCAGCAAAATCCAAGGAAGCTGATCAGCTATCTGGAAACAAAATGTAAGATTTGATTAGGCACGGGGGGGTCAGCCATGGGGGGCTGTCAGCTTTGAACGCATCTCAGAATAACCCCAAACACAGGTCATAAAGGGGTAAATGTGTGTACATTCCAAATAATTCTCTTACTATTCACTGGGGAAAATAAAGAGGAAAAAAAAAAAAAAAAACACCGTGAGCCAGCATACCAACTAATATTTTCTCAAAGTTCCAGTCACTGAAAGTGGCAATTTTTCTTTTCTTTTCTGCACTTTTGTTTTTTAAAGGGCCTCACTCCAAATTGGCAAGTAATTGAAACTGTAATTTTCATCATTTGTATCTAATCACAATAATCTTATTGTGTCACAGCCAGGTTTTACCTCACATTAAAAATTAAATATAGAAGTGTTCATTAAAAAACTACAGAGTCTTTCATAACTTTGAATTTATGAACTTAACGTATTAATGTATATGTGTTTTAAGGGCTTTTAGTCTGCAACAGCAAACCAGGCTTTAGAGCGGTAGAAAGGCAGTTACTATACAAATAGGCATGAAATGTACATGAAATCGAATGCACAGATTTCAGTGGAAAAGATCATGTTGAAATACAGGATGTCATTTTCTAAAATATATTCCTGAGAAAAACTGACTTTCACAAAGATGAGTGTGATAGAGGCAATATTTTTGGCATGTGTTCATTACTTTTCTGAAGAATTCCATTACTTAATCCAGCAGTGGGATGTGGGTGAGCAGAGACAAGCAGAGAAAAATACCTAGGAGCCTTTTTGGTGGCTGCGGTGAGCTTGGGTACCAATGACATATTTAGAACAGTGATTTAGTTAATTAGAACAAAGATTCTAGTGGTTAGCTTATTCATTTGATAAGTTATAACAATGATAACAACTACAGTCTAGACAGCAACTTAAGGAGGCTTGCAAAGGCTGCTGAGGGATCCTTCTGGCCTAAAAACCCTCATCCCGGGATTGTCACTGTTGCCAGCAACAGGCCAGGCTGGCAGGAGGTCCAGCCTCACACTCAGAGCCGTGTTGGCCCAGGCACGACCTCTGCCAGCTTTGTTGCTCCCCTCCAGGCCACATTCGGGGGGGACCCAGCTGCCTGCTCCCCAGCTATAAAGACCTTGCAGCTTTTGTGAACTTTTGCCTGCCTTCCCTTCAAAAGGGGTGGGGAAAAGAATCCCACACAAACCCCGGTTCATTAAGGGTGAAGAGGCCGCATGCTCATTAGCAGGCCTGGGAACCAAGCCTCTTTGAACCTTCTCCCTTTCCAGACCATTAGCAGAGGTCTGTGGCACAGCGACGGGAACATTAGATGCAGCCACTGAGGGCTGTGGGAGAACAGCACAGTTCACCCAGTGGTCGGGAGGTTCAGATCACCCGCCGGGGGGTTTTCTCAGAGGATTTATGGGAAGGCGTTACATCCACAGCTATGTTTAGTGATTCTGACAATCAGTCGTTTGTATTTGCACCTCCGCTTATTTACAAAATTCACGATTTCTAGACTACCCGGAACCTTTCTAAATAGCATCCCTTGGAAATACCATGTGGTGCTTTTGGTGAAGCTAATGCTGATCTTGCTACCAACTGAATGGTAAATGATCATGAAAAGTGTAAAGTATGTCCTGAGCCTATTAAAAATTAAAGAGCTACCAGCTTCATAAAAGCCAGGTATCTTTAAAAAAGCAAAAACAAAAACAAACAACAAAAAACTTCAACCATTCACTAATATTTCCTACAAAAGAAAGAATAAAGAAGCAGCTGTGATTTGAAATATTAAAGCTGGCTCATCTTTTCACACCTGCAAGGCAAACTCTAGGACTGCGACTGAGAGAAAGTTATAGTCCCCCGTTGGTCCCAGTTAACTCGTCCTATGGATGGCTCAGAAGAAATTAGAAGATTTTACCTATTAATCACTACTGTGGTTAATCATGGGAAAATAGAAGTATCTCCAAGTCAAATTTCTTCTGTCTTTCCATCAGAAGCATGTAAATTAAATTAAAGACCTTTGGTCTGCTTTATTCTCAGGTGAAACAAGAACACCTACCAATGGATCTCAACAGAGGGATGAGCATCAGATTACATCTGCAGAGCTATGAAGATTTTATTTTTGATGAAAGTGCCAGGATTCCATCCCAGAGTGGTGCTATTAGAATTTTTAGAGGCGATTCCATTGGGGGCTCCAATGGAAACACTGACATTTTATTCACTCATTCAAGAGTTGGTTGCTGGATGCCCGGCATTGAGCTGGCTCAAACAGCCAGAATCTGGCGTTCTCATCACCTCACCTCTGTTATCATGGGCCAAGCCAGCATCATGTCTTACCTGAGTGATCACAAGAACTTTCTAAATGGTCACCTGGCTTCCGCTCACTCTCGCCCTTGCCACCATAGTCTATCCTCCCTTCAGAAGCCAGGGAGCCTACTGAAACATGACAGAGCCTGCCTCTCCTGTCTGCCCTCCAGGCGCTTCCTATGTCGCTCAGAGAGAAACTCATCAGAATAAAACCAGCCCCAGAAAACACAGACTCAGACAGTGAGCTCATTTCCTCCCACGCTTCCCCTTGCTCGTTCTGCTCTGGGCACACGGTCTCCTTGTGATTCCTCAGACATGCCAAGCACATCCTGTCCCCCACTTGCCCCTGCAAGGTCTTTGGAACCCACATGACTCTGCACCAGTGTCACCTTCTCTGTGAGACTACATAAAACCAATTCCCCTCTTACCACCATAACCACCCACTCATTGTGGCAATTCTTCCTCCTCCATCCGGTTTATTTTTCTCCATAACATTTATCACTGACATATTGTACTAGTTTGTTCATTGCTCCGTTGCTCCTCACTGGCTCCAACAGTAGAAAATAAGCCCTACGAGGGCAGAGATTTTGCTTTGCTTTTTGAGGGATGTACCACCAGTGCCTAAAACAGTGCCCAACACATAGTAGGACTCAAATACTTGTTGATTCTATTAAATGTACTGATGTTTGGCTGAAACCAAAAAGAATAAAACATAACCCTTGCCTTTAAGGATCTCTCCATCTATTAGAACAGGGCTCAACAAACTTTTTCTATAAGGGGGAAGATAGTAAACTTTTTTTGTTTGGTTTGGGGTTTTTTTTGGCAGCTGGCCAGTATACGGAGCCGAACCCTTGACCTTGGTGTTATCAGCACCACACTCTACCAAGTGAGAGCTAACTGGCCAGCCTAAGATAGTAAATATTTTTGGCTTTGTGGGCCATAGGGTCTGTGTTGCAACTAATCAACTCCACTACTGTAGCACAAAAGCACTTATACACAATACCTAAAGGAATGAGTGTGGCCGTGTTCCAACACAACTGTGTTCAACAAAAACAGGTAACAAGCCAGAAGTGGCCTGCAGATCGTATTTTGCTGACCCATGTATTAGAATATAGAGACACATACAGCAAGCAAGAATATAAAATGAAGATCACTCTCAGAGAGTCAAGAATAAAGTGCTGTGTGAGCAACATGGATGGTGGAGCAAGACTTGGACAAGCGTGTACAAGTTTTGAGTGCTAAGGGGAAATGATATGCAATGGGATTTCAGCCTGACATCAATGGAAATAATGTGAGTCGAGTGCTTACAGGCAATTCATGTAAGAATGATTTAATAGCAGCTGCTCAAAGCTGGATCTTTTTCTTTTATTGCCATAGTGCTTGGCATGGTGCTTTGCACGAGTGTCTACGCTGTAAATGGTTAATTGTATTAAGTGATGACAAAATGTGGTAAGTGAGGCTCAGCCAGTTTTCTAAATCTTTTGCCTGTATGCCACCAAAAAGGAAGGGGTTTTGATTTATTTTGAGTGGATTCCCATTTTTTCCACTCTTATCCTGATTTTGTCATGGTACAGAAACCATTTTTGTGAAATGACTCAACAATATCTTGTTTGTACATATGCCATTCCCCCCTACCCCCCAAATAGCATGGTTTACTTTTTAGCTTTCTTTAAAATATCTTTTTGAGGAAATTAAAATGCCATTCAATCTTTCACCAAATATTTAAGTCCTTGTGTGGGCTCGGTCTAGGGAAAAGTACTGGTAACACCCAGCCTCTGCCTCAGTGGTCTTATGGTTCATTAGAGGAGAGAAAATTTGAACAAATTATGTGACATAACAACAGGTGCATGCCAGAGATAGGGAATAATCAACTCTATATTGGGGGAGAAAGGGACAGGGGGACGGATCCTGAAAGAGGTGGGTTTTAGAAGAGGGAACAGGGCTTCAACAAGCAGATAGTGGTGAGCAGGTGGGGATTTTGTACAAAATGTTACCTTTTGTCTTTTCTTAACCCTCCTAGTTAATTTCCATGTCTCCAAAAAAAAGCCTCTTAGGCTTCGCTATAATAGAAGGAAATCACACATACATACATATTGTCGTAAGGAAATTCCATAGCTCAACACTTCTATGGGCTGATGGGTACCCACTCAGAGGAGGAGGTGGGTAATCATGGAACCCCCTTGCTACAAACTGGGAATGGCCACAATTCACAGCTCACACCTCTGCCTGTCCATGGTTTATACGTCTAGAACAGGGGACAGAATAGTGAGCGAAAGGAGAGAGTTGGATGGGTGGCCAGACAATCTAGGATGTTTGGCAGCTCTGCTATGTATTAGCTGCCTGCGTGTGCATGTGTGAGTGTCCATGGGTGTTCCCTACAATTCCTCCAGCACTCGCTGTAATCACTTCCCCAAACAGGAGAGTCTTTAGTGACAGGTTGCAGTTAAGCCCTACAGCGTGGAACACACTGGATGCAAGACATCTTTACAAGAAACTTTCTTACAGATTCAAGACTTCCTCAAAATGGAAAACTAATAAATGGATATTTTGATGGCAAATAATCATGTGAATGCTTTCACACCTCCCCTTCCTCCTTTCCCTCCCTCTCTCATTCTGTGTGTCACTGAAATTGTCCTTTTCTGGTTTCCCCCTTTCTAACTGCTGCTGACTTCTTCCTCCTGTTAACCAAAGCCTACCTACAT